ATTTGATTACGTTCCAGGGTCCACATCATTCAATATATCAAGTGATTGTAGGAATATCCAAGGAAATATTTTTTTATATAAACTTCTTTGTGGTGGTGTGAGTTATTTGTTTCTTCAATAAACTTTTTTGTCTCGTGAGATTGTTACGCATCTACGACCGTTATTGAGAAAAATAGTTATTTATTATACAAGGGAAAAAAGTATTAGATTCAATACTTTCCCGTGTATAACACTCTATTTTTTTTGAAAGAAGGACGAATCAATGTTGAGAAGATATTACATTATACGTGTGAAGAAGTCCATACTGCTGGTAGTGTTTGAAGGAAAATCCCAGAATCATCTCCACGACATTAAATAGTTGAACATAGTTATGTTACAATTGGGAGGAGATATTTCGGGCTTATAATAAGCCCATCATCAGCCAAGGTTCTGTAACGTCCTATACGATAGTGAAAACTAGTAAAAGGAACATGGTGATAGCTAATTTCACTCACATGTGGATGAAAGAACTGTAGATACAATAGTATCACAATGAAAATAAAGTTTACTTATGAAAGATGTAATTTGTAGTTGAATGCAGTCAAAAAAGAATTCGAATATCTCCTCAAACAGGGAACAATCAGACCGTCGAAAAGTCCATGGGCTGCCCACTTCATGTAGTACCTAAATCGAATGGAGAATGGCGACCTTGTGGTGATTATAGATTATTGAACTCAATGACAATCTGATCCTTCAAACATTGAAACATTCTATACACAAGGATCACACCACAAAGTCAGTAGGAGATCTTACTGATTCAGAGGTAGTTGAAGTTCTAAAATATTTCAACGTATCCGTCGGCAATAACATTGATGGACATACTCAGCGGTAGAGTTCCTAAATGTACAGTGTGTCCAGTTTTCGATGCTTTTGTGTGATATCTCAGTTATCTTTCGAGATAGAACCTTGCGGGTTTCGCGAACGTGTGCCACTTTTTTGTGGAACTCAAGATGGCCTAATCAGATTTTGCATAACTGTTTCCGTTCATGAGATACAGGGCGATTTTGAAAATTTGTACTTTTTGGACCCCCTTTATATCTACGAAGTTTCTCAGCAAAAATGTCAAATTCAAATCTCATCCCATATGAAAGTTTACGCAGAATCCAGTGGCGCACTCAAAATTTTTTTCGGGGTATGGTTTTGGAAATACGACTCAAACTTATGGTTTTTTAAATGGAACACCCTGTATTTTATAAGCTCATAAAATTCCTCATTTTTTGTCTTCAAAATGATTTATGATGTATGTATATGAAATTTTCAAAAATGCTCCGAAATCACTGAAACATTGAATTTTAATTGTGATCTATGGATTTTTCTTATAAAAAAATTCCAACTTATTCACTGAATTATTCGAATTGATGTCCATTTTCCATAACACACAATTGAGACATTTTCTCAATACGTCTTGATACAGTAAGAGTCACAAATATCTTCGTGCAACAACAGAGGCAGTTTTCCAGGAATTACAAAGACATCCTTTAATGATTTTGAATGCATTAAGACGTATTGAGAAAGCGTGTGAGGGAAAGTGGATATCAATTTGAACAATTCAATGAATAACTTACTGATTAATTCCGAAATTCAATTGTCTTAGTGAATATTAAATCAGGTGCTTATTCTAGAATATGAACTTTTTATTACCATTCATGTGTTGCTATCAGGTACCTAATTTTTGTGTTATCTTAATTAACTAGTGTTGGGATTGTTTTTGTCCTTTTCATGGAAGAATCAATCGAAATATTCTTCAATTGGAACTTTTTTAAATGAAAAATCCATAGCCCACTATTAAAATTCAATGTTTTAATGTTTTTGGAGCATTTTCGAAAATTTTATACAAATTAATGAGCTTATAAAATACAGGGTGTTCCATTTGAAAAATCATAAGTTTGGGTCGTATCTCCGAAATCATACCCAGAAAAAAAAATTTGAGTGCGCCACTGAATTCTGCGCAAAATTCTGTATGGGATAAGATTTCAATTTGACATTTTCGCTGAGAAACTTCGTAGATATAGAGGGGGTCCAAAAAGTATAAATTTTCAAAATCGCCCTGTATCTCATAAACGCAAACAGTTATGCAAAATCTGATTAGGCCATCTTGAGTTTCATAGAAAAGTGGTACAGGACCGCGAAAACCGCAAGGTTCTATCTCGAAAGATAACTGAGATATCACACAAAAGCATCGAAAACTGGACACACTGTACTTGACACTGCTGTTTTGACGTTTTTTGTAAATTGCAAAACAGCAGTGTCAAGTACATTTAGGAACTCTACTCAGCGGAACATGGTGGAAGGATCAGTGAAAAACGAATATTCAAATAATTTTCATGAATATGATTTCAAAAATATTCTGGAAAATTTGAGTAGCCAATCCGAAATAGAGAGTCCTCAGTGCTTCTGACTTTGAGCATGAAAATTGATAAACTCGAAGAATCATGTGGTTTATTCATTAGAAAAACTGAAGACAATGATAGAAAATATAAGGAATTGAAAATTAAATTACAAACATTCTATATACAAGGTGTAAGATCACACCACAACTTCATTATCGT